ATGATGCATAGTGGCAAAATAGCATGGAACCTTGTAACAGCCTGATAGCTGCAGGTGTGGGTGATATATGGAGTGTACAAATAAAGCATCTAGGCCAAGAAGCAAAAAACTCGATCTTGCAGTTTTATAATACGTGCTGAGAAACCTATGAAATTTCAAAATCATGAAGAAAATCTAAAGTAATAGCCTTGTTAAAACCAGGAAAGGACCCAGAAAATCCCAGTAGCTATAGACCTATTATGCTGTTGTGTCACTTTTTCAAACTACATGAGAGACTTATACTCGCCAGAATAGAAAAAAATGTCGACAAGCACCCATATCCCACAACAAGGAGGATTTGAACCAAGCAGATCTTGCATCAGTCAAGCCCTCCCACTAACAGAACACATTAAAGAGGGCTTTAAAGAAAAACTTGTAACACGGGCTGATTTTGTAGATTTTACAGCACCCTATGACACAGTAAGGCACAAAACATTGCTCCGCAAACTATACGACACTCTTAATGACCACCATCTGGGTAAGGTCGTATATTCCTTACTGCAAAATAGACGTTTTTTCGTTATGCTGGAGGGTAAAGTAAGTAGATGGAGAGTTCAAAAAACGGACTCCCACAGGGAAGAGTTTCAGCAGCAATGCTCTTCAATATATACAAGCGACCAACCAAGTACTTCCTCTTTGCTGACGATATTGCAATATGTGCTTAAGGAAAAAAAGGTTTTAAAAAAGTGGAGAAGAAACTCGAAACTGCCTTAAAACAATGACAGCGTACTACCTGCAGAATTGCCTGAGACCCAATCCCTCTAAAACCTAAGTCTGCGCTTTATAATTTCGCTCCAAGAAAGCCAAGCAAAAACTCCAAATTACGTGGAATGGTAATACGTTAGAACACACAAACCATCTTATATATCTTTAAGTAACTCTGGACCGGTCCCTTACCTGCATACAACATTGTATAAAAACGAGAGGGAAAGTAGCAACTAGGAACAGCATAGAAAGCTAACGGGAAGAACACTGTGTTCCTCAACTGCTGAATATGCGTGCCCCGTTTGGGGCAGAACTACTCATACGAAACAAGTTGATACTGCGTTAAATGGAACGTGCAGGATAGTAACAGGGTGTATGAAACCAACGCCACCTTCAAATCGATATAAAGCAGCGGGTTTTGCAGAACCCTTAACAGAGGCGTTGCAGAGCACATAGAGAAACTTAAACAGATCGCGGACGAGCGGCACGGCCTATACAAACCTCGAACAGTGCAGGATGAACCGCCTGAGTATTTTCACCTTCCTCAGGTTTAATGGACCGGCCAGTCCCTAGACTTAAAACTATGAATATGATACTAACGGGGGCGCTACAGTAAAATCAAACATGGCATAATGGGGAAAAATAGACCAAGATAATGTGAACTGTGACTGTGTAGAAACACAGAATATGGAACATCTTCTTAAATGCAGAAACTGTTCTCATCGATGTCCCCTTGAAGATTTGTGGCTCGCCAACAAAGATGGAACCGACATAGCCCAATACTGGGCCTGGATAAAGTAAAGTAAGTCTAACAAAGCTCAGCAAGTCGTTATTACTCGACTTCGTCTAGGACATACCGACTTAACCATGGGCATATAATCGGCACACTAATCCTACTTTATGTGACAAGTAATGTCCCACTCGGTCTTAAGCAAGTCCTTGTAGAGTGTTCAAGATACCAGTTGCAGAGACAGACCAACCACATCATCGGATCAACAAGTAAAATATTAGGAGAAAAATGTAAAATTAAACAATTAGTAAAATTCCTTAGACACAGTAATAAACTAACAAAATGTTTATAAGTAAATTATCTCATGTACAGGTATGTATATATGTCTCTAATAACCTTAGAGGTTGATGCGACAATGTTTGTAAATAAAAATAAAATAATTTTTTTTTAAACCGCTAATATACAATATCGTGACAATATATGGTTCTTTCCTTTAAAGTGTAAGCTACTAATTGCTTCGATTCTAAAAAATTGCATTTTCCTGGAGAAATACTAAACATTCATTTGCCAGAGGGGCACGAAACATGAAACACGGTATTTAGCTCAGACTGCGTGGCTACGGTATAATTAACATAAATTTTATTCAAGAAGCTAAATGCCGCTATCAAAGGCAATAAATAATTTGTTTTTTAATTACAGCCATAAATCTGTTGCATTGTTTAAGTATGTTGGCGTAATATATTTTAGGCTTGTGCGCTACAGTTATTGTCCCTCATTTACCTGGCTCCATGTGGTCCTTAAAAAGTCAACATTTACAGTTAAATGGAGGCGTGCTGTTTACCATATCAATCAAACTATACTTTTTTCTGCTGGGGTGGAAACGTATAAAAGCTTACATTGTATCAAGGTATTAAAAATTTTCAAACAGCAGTAGGAACAATAAATTTATATTAACATGGCTTAATTTGTTTATTTATTGATTTATAAAGTCGGTTTCTTGATTTTGTACCTATGTATAGTATTATTCACGAATCATTTTTTATATTTCGATTCCTTTTTACTTCAAGAACTACAAAGCTCTTAAAATTTAGCTGCTTCTCCATCATCTAGAAAAGAATACATTACACAAAGATAGCAAGTGTTAGGGTAAACCACCCAGTTATTGGCACTTTAAAGAAAACTTTGGATTTTGCTAATATATCAATCATATTATGTCATTCAAGTTTTACGAAGCCAGAACCCCCCCCCCCCGCAGCGGTGCCAGAACATCACAATAGTTAGTAAGTGAGGAATTTGTAAAATGTCAACTATTTGTCAAACTATTATATTAACACTAAATACACTTAGTTTTAAGACTACTGCAACACACTAAAATACATAAGAAACATTTTAATACAAAATTATGTATTTTAAATTTTAAAATTACCTCTTTTAGGGCTGTAATAATAGTAAAACCGTCCGGCCATTATTTCTTGTTCAAAATAATCTATCTTATACGAAAGCTTATCAGCTTTCTAAAGACTATTTTTGACATAGCACAATTACAATAGACAAAAATAACTAGTTTTTAAAGCTATTAATCTAAATTTAATATGTATTTATAAATATAATTTATTAATATATATTATATTATAATCAAATTATGTAAGAAATCAAAACATAAACAAAATTTTTACCCTAAAAAAGCGGCAACACTTTATACACTTTTGCTACACGCTGAACTGTCAATAAATTTGAAGTATTCTGATATTAGTTGCGTAAAATTGTCTAATCTATTTAATTAAAATTATTATTTTGTGGAATATTAGACTTGAAGAGTTATTTCATAAAATTTATATTATTAACAATAACAAGTGTTTTTGGTTATTTAATCAATATACTTCTAATATTTCCAGTATACTGATGATTACATTTTTTTGATTATTACACCATGTTGACGCCTATAAAAGATCGAGCAGTTCCGTATGGGTTTTATATTATTAGCTGTGTTAGGAACATTTGAACTCTAAGGTTGACGTTTTGTAACTTTTAAATACAAGTGACGTCAATTTGTATACATCGTGACGTGCAAGTGTTTTACTTTGAAAAATGATATAGGTAACATCATAGGAGGATATTTTGATTTTTTTATAATTTGCTATTATTACTGAACACAAATTAAATGTTATTTTATTATACATATTTACGAAAATAATGCAAAAATAGGTTATTTTAGATATTATACACATTTTCTAATTATTGGCAGTTATATTCTTGTTATTGGCATGTAGTGATTGGCAGTGTACTCAATCATGGGCACCCAGTAATTGGCAAAACTTTTATATCAAAATATTGATTAAGAATTAAAAACAAAACTAAAACATAAGTCTTCCAAAACATTTCGTCTATTACAATTTTTATATTATCGCCTTCTTCATTATTTGGATGTAAAGTGTTAAATAGATTAGTAGTACCCTGAAACTTTGCTATTGTTATTAGAGTTTGCATTTTCTGGATTCTTTTAAGAGCTGTAAAGTATCTGTATCGCATATATTGCAAAAATCGGTCAAATTCATTGATTCTGTGGTGGTTTTGCCAAATTTATCTACGGTATATTTTTTAGCTGAGTATTTGCTGTAGCCAATACTATAGGCATTCCGACAGAGACCACAACCTCTAAAACCACTTAATATAGCCTATGGTTTAAGAGTATCCACCGCTTCTTTTAAAATTGGTGCAAACTTACTCTTACTTAGTTGTTTAAATCGATTTTATCTCTTCCAGTCTCTTATAACAAAGCTCTTTTCCACAAATTTTTAAGTAGCTTAAAACTAGAGACGTTGGAGTGTTGAAGAATTCTAGTGACATTTGGATATAATGCCACTAAGATTATTTTGAGTTCTGTACATAGTTGACTTGGTTGGTATGTTAAAGGTACATTCAGAAGAACAGTCACGGGACGATCAGATCACGGTCAAATCACAGTCAAGTCAAGGGGCAACCTATTCACACACACAGTCCGGGCAGATCACCGTCAGTCTACTTCAGCATTCCGGTCTATCAAGATGTCTAAGAGAAAAACACAACACATGCCAAAATGGCATTACTTTTGGAAAAAGAAGAAAAAGTAAGGCCTCGTCGAGAGCGGGGACACAAAATATTTTTATCGAGGAGCGAAGAAGATGATTTCGCAAAATTGTACCCACAATTAGTAGACGACGAGACAATATTCGTACAGTACTTTCGCATGGAAAGTGGACGGTCCAACGAAAATGGACACTCACTATCGAAGAGCAGTAACTCGTAGCCGAAAAGCTTGCTGTAAGTTTGAGGTAAGAAAATAAAATTACGTGAATGATTAAAAATTTTGTATTGCCAAAAAATGTGTAGATAGTTTTCAAAAAAAGTTTTATACAAAGTTTTCTGGTGAAAAAGCTTTTAATTCGGAACCTGTAGTTTGATTATAGTTTGCTGGAGAATACTGGGGTGGTGCATTGTAAACATCTTGGTTAAGTTGGCTGTTAATGGTTCACTGTGAATAGGTTTGCTAATAATGTTGGTGAACGTTCGTAACAGATGAAGAGTATGTCAATTTTTTCAAATTAAACTCCTCCAGGTCACTAATTACACCAAAATCTCTTTGTTTAGCCAATAGTTTATTTCCGGCATTAAATTTTTTTACAGTACCTTTCATGATGTCAAAGAAAAGATCAATATCATCTTTTTCTTTATTATTTTTTTCTTCTTCCAAAAGATGTTTCATCAAAACTGCACTAGCACTTGCAACAGCTTGATGCCATCTACGTTTAATGTTGGATGATTTCCGTATTGGGATCGCATTAGAAGAGTGGTTTGTTTCGTTAGAGTTTTCTAGAGCAAGTTCCTCGCCTATCGCGATATTATCTTTCTCCAGTAGAACTGCATATCCCTCGTTTTCTGTTGACATGGAAGTATATCTTGTCTTGTCCTTCATATATATATATATATATATATATATATATATATATATATATATATATATAGTTAAGAACGACATGTTATCGTAATGTTTCCATGTTGATGGAGACCCAACTGATTGACCAGTTACTGTTTTTTTTGTGCAAGTGTATATTTTCGAAATTAATTTCACAATTACTGCCACCTCAGCTTACATTTTTTAGGATCTAAAAAAAAATAAAAAATAATTAGACAAATACTTAAAATAACAGCATATTCAAAACATAACCAACAGTTCTTGACTGATATTGTTAGTGATATGATGAATGAGTTATAATTGTATGTTAATAAGTTTTAGTTAATTATTACAATTACTATCTTGCAGATTCCTCGCAACTGATGATTCTTTCGTAACGCGTATAATAACCGACCGGGACATTCTACTGTGCACTCTATAGTCAATAAAGTATGTGGTACTATAGTTAAAAATTGCTTGCGAGTTTTTATACCACTGCCTTCTACTGAAGACTGGATGACAATTGCACACGATTTCAAGACTAAATGGAATTTCCCGAACTGCATTGAAGCTATTCACGGGAAACACTGTGAGATATTTGCACCTTATAATAGTGGCTTTAACAATTTCAGTTATAAAAAGACATTCTCAGTTGTACTAGTCGCCCTAGTTGATGCCAACTACAAGTTCATAGCTATAGATCTTGGGTTCTATTGAAATAACAGTGATGGAGGGATTTTTTCTAGTTCTAGATTAGGCACAGCCCTAGAAGAAGGATCGCTCAACATTCCAAGTGGCAAGCATTTGCCGGGTACAAATATATCGACACTGCTTGTAATTTTAGGCCACCAAGCTTCTCCACTCAAAACATATATGCTAAGACCGTACCCCTCAAATCAGGTACAAGAAGACCCAAGGAAATGGATTTTTAACTATCGTCATTGTAGAGCAAGAAGAACGGTGGAAAACGCTTTTGGTTTATTGGCCCAACGATTCAGAATATATTACCGTAAAATAAACTCACAGCGTGGTTACATAGAAAACATAATCTTGGATACTTGCATACTGCATAACTACATTTAGACCGAAATAACTCGCATTATCTTAATTCTTTTAATTTCTGTTCTGAATCAATATAAGTCACTTTTTTAAAAACCGTATTATGACTTAGGAAAAATTTTTTTAAACAAATGTGTAATGCATAATGCACATGATATTGAAATATTATTTTAACAATTAATTTTAAATCATTTTTCCCAACAGCGCTTTAAAACACTTTTTTTTTATTTACTCAAAACTATAAGTTCTGACTCATGTTGTTTCTGAAATGACCGAATTAAGTTTCAGGCATATATACATACTAAGGCCGTTCATCCAATTCATTCATTTTATTCCAAGAAAGCTTTTCCTGGAATTTAGTCGCTTTAGTAGTATTCGAGCTTTGTATAGGGCGTGCCGTTCAACCGCGATGTTACTCTAATATATATATATATATATATATATTTATATATATATATATATATATATATATATATAGGTTGTGTGTTTTCTAATGTATTACCAAGATCGTCAGCATAGAGGAAGTGCTTTGTGTATATAAGTCGTTTGTGTATATATTGAAGAGCAGTGGTGCTAAGACACTGCCCTGTGGGATGCCATTTTTTAACTCTCCACCTACTTTCTTAACTATCCAGCATAATAAAAGAACGTTTTTTTGCAGTAAGGAATATACGACGTTACTCAGATGGTGGTCATTGTCGTATAATTTGCAGAGCAATGTTTGCACCTTACCGTGTCATAGGCTGCTGTCAAATCTACAAAAGCAGCCCCCGTTATAAGTTTTTTTTTCAAAGCCCTCTTGAATTTGTTCTGTTAGTGCGATGACTTGACCGGTGCAAGATTTGACGTATCTCTCGTATAGTTTGAAAAAGTGACACAACAGCGAAATAAGCCTGTGGCTACTGGGATTTTCTTGGTCCTTTCCTGGTTTTAACAAGGCTGTATGTGAAGACAATTGGCTTCTTGATAATTTTTTTAGAGATAAGGTCTCCCTCGTCTTTTCAAGATAACGAAAAATGTGCTTTGAAAAATATTGCTATGGAGAAAGTAAAAAAGAGTTTGTTTACCGATGAGCTCATGAAAACCTGCAAAAATAATTCGTTATATAAAAATCCTAAGCTGATTGAGGGACTTTGCTTCTTTTGTATATAATTTTAAAGAGCAAAATCTTGAAATGTTTGTCGAAGGCCTGACACATTTCTTGCATAAATAGACTTAATATGCACAAATTAAATTCACAAAATATTTAGCTGCAATCCATGTCTAAAAAACAAACATAAAATAATTAGATCTTATACGTATGTATAATATTGTATTTTTATTTAGTACCCAAATCTGTTTTATCTTGATTTTTTTGCCTATAACTGACAAATTAGTGGCTAAACTGGAAGACCCATGATAATAACTAATGATTGATAGACAGATATTATAAAAGATTTTTGGAACTTAAATTTCATTCTAGACTAGAAATGTTTGGTTTTGTATAAACTACAACTGATTTTTAATAGCAGAAACGTAATATTCCTACTGATAAACATTTATTACATAATTTTCTGATTTATTACTCTAATAAAAATGTGACCGGACAATCACTGGGTAGTCTACCCTACTTTCATTTAAAATTTTTCTTCGTGCCCTTAAGTTAATTTTTTTCAAAAAGAATTATAACGACTAATGGTTACTTTGTTGTTCGATTTGTAAAAGTTATTAATAAGCAAAATATTGTTACGAACATGCGTTCTACCTAGCCCTTTTAACGCTTGCGATGATGAGAAGCATCCTGATGAATCGAGCGCGGCATAATAACTTTTATATATAAGCAGACCTTCTATGAGTTAAGTTGCTTTATTAAAATAATATCGAACTGTAAACTTATAAATAAATATATTTATATAAATTAGAATCGCTCGTTTTATTTAAAAACGGTACAATATTATGTTTATATGGAATTACGGAATATTAATTAGTTTTAATGAAAATCACATAATTTGAAAATTTTTTTACTTCGGGAACTACTGCATAAAGTTTATCAGACACGATTTTATAATACTCAGATTAAATCTGCTAATCATAGTAAAAAACATTTAATTAAAAATTTTTACCAATCTGTGGAATTTATAAATTGTTTAGTCAACTACTGTCAAAATGTATTAGTTTCAATTAATACTACATCTACCCCTTTCCTTTATATTTATGTTATGACTATTTATATTGATCTATCAGTTCTAAAATTTATATATTTCCTTACATGCTTAACATAAATTTCCGCAAAAGGTTGACAGAACAAAAAAAACTTTCAGTTAGACGTTGTGTAGGAGAATAAACAGCTTAAATGGTATCATGACATACGTGTCAGTCCCCTATTATGATATCACTTGCTCTATTAAAGTGATTGAATTCCCATAACGAGGGCAACTCTTTTAGTCTGACACTTCCTAGCGATAAAATTTTTAATGAACAGGGTAGTATTTTCCTATTAAAAGCTTTAAGTCTCAAATGTATAAGTTTTACAGTATATTTAGAAATTATAATTATAATCAAATCAAATTAGTGTTTAAACTGATATAAAAGGTTGAATGATCGAATAAATGAACTTTGATCAGATGAAAAGGCAAATATCGAGCACAGTTTATTAATCAAATCTTGCCCTAGTACTTTCGCTTCCTAGAGCATCTTCAGGGGCATCTGAAGTAAGCCACGAAACGTTTTTTTTTAATGAAGCAAATCAATTACCTTCGATAAAAAATTCGAAGTTGAAGGTTGATAAAAGTTTTTATGTGATATAACGTTTTAGATTTACTTCGTCAATTTTGGCCTATCTAAAAATTTGCGGAAGATGTTATAAACATAAAATTGTACATTACACAACACTTCACAAGGACAAACAGAGGTTTTGAGGACAAATAAGTACATTATGGTTGGCATCAGGAGAGAGAATGGCTCCTGGTCTTAGCGGAAAATTGTACCTCCTTCTCCAAAAATCATCTTCACATATGTCGCCGAATATTCTTCTCAGGATCCTTAGTTCAAATATAAGCAGAAGGTTTTCATCTTCCTTGGAAATGATCCATCTCTCCAATCCATATGTCAACACTGGTTGTATAAGGGTTTTGTATATGTTTTTTTTTTTGTTTTTTGGCTTAAGTTTCTGCTTTTCATATGTCTACTCAACCAAAAAAGAGCATTTGTTTGCTGGAATTATTCTTAGCTTGATTTTTTTCGTCATGACGTTCTCCTTGGTGATCAGGGAGCCTAAGTATGTGAATTTTTCCACCACTTAAAGGTAGAGTTATCAACAGTGAATTGGTGGCCGATGTTTCTGGCTCACTTGTTGGGCGTTGATGCCATTATCTTAGTTTTTTCCTCATTTACTTGCAGGCCCATATTTTTTTAAGCATTTGACAAGGTAGTATACACTTCTTCTAGTTTACGTGTTGTGCGGGCAAATAGGTCAATTTCATCTTCTTCTTCATGTCCCTTGTCCGTTCGGAACGTTGGCAATCAACGTGGCTATTCTGACTTTGTTTACGGCAGATCTGAATAGTTCAGCAGATGACAGCGAACCATTGCCGCAAGTTTTGGAGCAACGAGTGTCTTCTCCTTCCTGGACGCCTTCTGCTGTCTATTTTCCCTTGAACGATCAGCTGTAGTACTCTATATTTATTATGTCTCATAACGTGACCCAAGTATTCCAACTTTCTTTTCTTTATACTTATTCCTACCTCTCTCTCTTTACCTATCTGGCGTAGTACCTCTTCGTTGGTCACGTGCTCAGTTCAGGATATACGTTATATACGTCGGTAAACCCACATTTCGAAGGCATCTACTTTTTTCATCAATGTTGCGGTCATTGTCCAAGCCTCCATTCCATATAACAAAACCGGGAATACATAACATTTCAGAAGTCGAATTTTAAGAGGTAGGGTGAGGCTTTTAGAGGTGAAAATTTGCTTCATGCTAGT